CTTTACTGTCCTAATGTTATTACAGCTACCCCTATGGAGACTTGTATACCACAAAAATTTGTAAGTTAATTCTTAACTAGAATACTTTTCCATTATGTTACTTTTTTAACACATAAAATGAATTTAGGAAAGTAGGGAGGTACTGTCTTGCTTTTAAGTTTTTCATCTCATTGCACCCATGGGAATACTGAAAACCTTACCAATTGCTATGACAGATAACTGGCATAGAACTCATGAAAACATTTTCTTTTGTCTTTCTCAGTTTATTTGGATGGAACAAAATCCCAAGAGGAGCTTTTATCCTGTGTGTATAGTGATATAATACAGGAATTAAAGCTGAGGGAAGGAAGTAAGTGATTTTACTGGAAATTCAAATCTGCTTATCCCATTCCAAGTTAACAAGAAGCTAATCCTTCTATATGAAAATACTGCAAGGATTATATAGATCTGTATCTCCCCATATACATGTATCATAGCCCTTATACGTTTGCCTGTTACTCTGAGTCATCATGAGCTATAACTTTAAGTTCCTTGAAGCTGGATGTTCTGAAATAATAGGTAAATCCACTGTTACCTAATGATAAAATAATATTTTAAAAAAGGGAACAAAAGGAATATGGGCAAAACATCAATGAAAGCAGATGTGTTGGTGATACTAGTTTCTAATACACAATGATGTCATGTGCAAACAGAGAAATGACACTACATGTTAAATGTGTACTTTTTATTTTTATTTTAGACCAGCAGGTCACAGCATGATAATGTAGAAAGCCTGGATTCCATGTGATATGACTCAAAACCCCCAAGCCTGTCACACTTGGCAAGCCAACCAACAGAGCAGATGTTATGTGTATGTCCATAATACCAGTTCATACAACACATCTCGATTTGTATCATTTTAAATAACATAACTGATGTGTAAATCTGATTGAATGCATACATTTAAATAACATAAACATATTTTTGTGTATCAAAAACTAAACTATAAAGATGCAGTACTGTCGGATTAATAAGCATATTTGAACATGGATGTATGCAATTTGAATTGTTCATATAGGAATGACAGTGATTACCTCTAATATTTTTAGAAGCTTCTAATCACTGATAAACACAGTTAGAGGAACTAGCTATATGCTGTGGCAATAGTAAGTTTAACACTGTACAAGCTATTACACTACTTATTCAGTAACAGTTTCAGTTACTGAATACATCATAACTGAATTTACTTAGACTTGCTAAATACCTCTGTGGTGTTTGTCAAGTCATTTGTCTGTTGTGTATTGTTTGGAGCAATTGGGAATGGATATTCAAAAAAACCCAAACAAACCTGAAGAGAAGTCAAGTTGTTGGAAGAAGATGGAGGAATAAGATGTTGTACAGAATGCAAATGCATCTGTAGGAAGATTAAGTACATGTATTGTGCAAAGATTGATTATTGGGATGGTATGGACTACTAGACAATAAATGCATGCTTCAAGGGGGAGGAAGAAGGAAATAATTCTTGTTAATTTTCATAGCTGAGGTTGAAATTATACTAATTAAAGTGTTCATAAAGCAGATATGCTAAATTTATGTTAAAATTTTGTTACAGGATTAATCATCTTCAGTTGCTGAATAAGTAATGTATTAACTTTTATTTTCTATACAACCTCGTACATTTTTTCAGCCAGAATAAAAATCAAACTACAGACATGAAAAGCAAAGGATGGACTACATTAGTTACTATGTGTCAGCTGAACTGATCATGGTGATAGAAATGTTGTGCTTTATTGTTAAATGTTAAGAGTCCTCAACCTGTACATAAGGAAGAGGTCTTAAACAGATTAGAGCTGTGTAAAGCTGTGTTTAAGACAAAGTACTTCTAAATACTATTTTGTATTACTATTTTGCAGTTAATACTTCAAGATGGAATTGCTCAAATGCAGTGATGTACTTGCCTGACTTTGAACTGTGGTTTTGTTTTTATTTCCCTTTGGGAGAGGTGCAAGTGTAACAGATTAACTAATACTTGGATGGTTGTGGTGGTTTGAGCTTAGCTAGCCACCAGGTGCCCACCAAGCTGCTCTATCACTGCCCTCCTCAGCTGGACAGGGGGAGAAAATATAACGAGAGGGTTGTGGGTCGAGATAAGGACAGGGAGAGATCACTCACCAATTACTGTCATGGGCAAAACGGACTCAACTTAGAAAAAAAAAAAAAGAATCTCATTTATTACCAATTAAATCAGAGCAAGAATGAGATATAAACCCAAATCTTACAACTCTTCCCCCAACCCCTCCCTACTTCCCCCAAACCCTCCCTTCTTCGCCGGCTTAACTTCACTCCCCATTTCTCTCCCTCTTTCCCCCCCCCCCCCAGCGGCACAGGGGGATGGGGAATGGGGGGCGGGGTC